AAATAAAATATAAATTTAATATATTTTTCTATAATATACACCTATCTAAGAAACTTTTATTTTTTTGTTTAATAGGAAACATATTTTTAAATAATAATAATAAATCATTTAAAATGCATACACTTAAACGATCTATATTTTAATAGATAATGGACAATGAGTTAATTCTATTTGCAACGTTTTAGTGGTTAGCAAAGCAAATTAACTGCCCATTAAGCTTATTTCTCATAATTTTCTTGTACTGTTCATATCGTACACAGATAACTACAGCTGCAGGTGTATGTATAACTATTATGTTTTTTTTTTACCAAGTACTATTTTATCAGATTTTCATTTCAAAAAAAAAAGTGAAGCGTAGTTTGAATCAATACAGTACACTCTTTTATTTGTAGTACAAAAAATCTAAATAGTTTTAAAATATCGTCTTTAAGTATATTTAAAATTTCCAAAAATCAGAATTTAAACAAATTTAATATTAAATAAAAAAAATTGGGATGAGCATGCTTGATGAATGATATTTGTTTTACTACTTTTAATAGTAGTTCAATATAGTTTAGTATAGATTAATACATTTTTAATGATTAGTCTTTACAATAATTTCAAAATTATCATTGCCCCCATATCTTCAGGCTATTATTATCATTATTTTTTACTCAGAGTTTAATAACTCAAAAATTACTTGCTTGAACTTCGATTTATGATTTTTATACTTCGCCTATTTTTTTAAATTTATACTTTGGAAATATTTTTAGTCGTACATTCGCCGATTTATTTATAAGTTTATTTAATTTTTGCTTTTAAACAATAAACATGTATTATTACAGTGTAAACAGTACAGATATGTTATTAGGATTCAAGAGTAATATTTGTATTGTTTCACTAAATGTTAACACTCAGTACGATTAAATTAGGTTTTTATTAAAATATATTATTATTGTACATTATGAATTGTGTACCTGCATATACGTATACGTAGTTATTAAGTTGTTATTAGGTACTTTTAAAATCCAGTTTAATTCATTACGTATAGTTCATATTACGTATTACTCAGTAATAATTTCCGTTTGTTTAACAACAAATACATAATTTTAATATCTTTACTTAACAAAATATGCATTTATCATAATAATATAGTTCCAGATTATGTCCCACGTGGCCTGCTGTATTCATTCCAGGCGGTCGATGGTAGAGAGTTGATGGTCAATTGCCGCAGTCGATGGAGACCTAAAGAGGACTCAGCGGACGACCAAGTAAACCCACTGCAGTGGATATCGGCAACCCAAGACAACCAAGGCCATGGTAACCTCCATTTATAATTTTATAAGTAATCATAAAATGAATTGATGCTGAATATATTATTATAAGATTTGTAATACATAATGTTGTAGTCAAATAATAATACCTAATATACGTTACTATTTTATTAAACGTACTATATACATTGAGTACTTTACTTTACATAAGGTAACCCTGATCTCTAGTAATAACTAATAATACCGTACACCGAAATCAATTCCCCGAGACCTCGTAATTATAAATAGAACGATACCGGGCAGGAGTGAGATAGCGATAGGCGGAGAGGGAACGTTCAGGAGGCATAAAAATGTATTGGCATTACATGCTTATTTGTCTATATGCATTTTACTGAAAATATTATGCTGAAATCATTTTATGTAATATATATATATATTATTGATAAAAAAATAAGTATTCAATAAAATTAATATTATATTCTTGCTCTTAATCACATCGATATCTGAACGTCTAACTATAAAAATGAAGCCATTATTAAAAAAGGAAAAAACAGTTGTTTATTTAGGGTAGTTATTACAATGTCTTGCAACATTTTAGAATTAATCATTATTACAGTGTAACTATTAGGTACTCTTTAGTTCTAACTATCAGTTAAATTAATTCAAACATTAAGACGATTTTCATTGGCCCATATTGAATCAGCTATGAATTGCAGTAGTGCTGATAGCTGCACTTGACAAATTTGTAAATATAATTCAATATTATAATATAAATACATTATAACAGATACATTTGATAAATATTGTATTCAATCGGCATTAATGTACATAAGACATGAGTACATAACAGTTTAACACACGTCATAGCATAGTACACACATACATACATAATATGACACGTGTTGTACTTAAAAGTATTACAATATTATAATATAATAAAAACATGCTATGGGTTAACAAATGATTGTAAAAAAACTAGTTTGTAATCAAGGCACATACATAACAACTGCAGTTTGTTTATCATTTCATAATATTACAACAAATTTTAAGTAAATTTTTTAAAATAAAACTACAACCTCAAATTCAATCAAAATTTTAACCGGACCTGATGTTAGCCACATCAGACTCGTCGTTTTTGGCACACCGGAGCCTCCACATATGGAAAAAGATCGGTGAGGGGTCTTTTTCCAAGGTTTACCTGGCCATATTTGGAGCCACCGAAAACGATTCAGGCAAACTGATCGCGACAAAAGTGATCAACAAGAACCGCGTTTCCACTAAGTTTGTGGAAAAGTTCTTACCCCGTGAACTAGACGTGATGCTCAAACTCAGACATCCGTATATAGTGCAGGCAAGTTTAATATTATGAAATAGGTGGATATTTTACGTCAGGGGTGTATTGATGTACATCGATTTAGAATGATAACCAGGGCCTTGCACCCGAAATAACCAGAACCCGTAACACCCTTAAAAATCCTTAAAAATCAAACACCCGAAATCCATATAACCCGAAAGATTCTATTTTCAAAACATAAGAATTAACCAAAATCCGAATAAAACATTCTGGTTAACCCGAAACCCGAATCATTTTTTATTTTACAATTTTTAAGTGATATCTCATTTTGTACATATTTTATTTGGTTAGTTCGAATTTGTAGTTAATTATTTGTTTAATAATAAAAATATTATGACATTTTGTTAAGCAATTAAAATTTTTAAAAAAATTTCTTATAAAAATAACTATAAATAATTATTTTACTCAGCTACTAAACGCCCGTATTGACCAATATTAAGTTATTAACCCGAATATTAACGTTTTAAACACCGAAACGTCCGAGGTCTGTTTAAATCTTTTATTCTGGTGTATGAACAACCGAATACATGCAGCACCCAAAACCCAAGTAAATCATTCGGGTGAAAAGTCCTGATAATAACAATAATAAAGGTAGGTATACGGTATACCTAATGATATTAGTAGGTACTGCAACACGCCAACACCAATCGCGGATATAGAAATCTGAAACGGCAGGGAGCTACATTTTTACAGAAAAATACTATTATATAAATATTTGTACATCATAATACATAATTATAGATAGTAATATCAATTCTGCAATAGGTTTCATGAACAATTACTAGACATTTAACGAATCATTAGTGAGTGTCACTTAAACATGACTTATTGGCCCATATATTTTATTAATATTATATTCAATTATATTTGGATTATATGGATTTTAAATGTATTTATGTTATATATATATATATATATAGATATTATTTAACATACATTTAATATTTCCAAAATGGATCCACACCAAAATATTATCATTTTCTAAATCATAAGCTCTTCTTTTCCTTTTTTTTTCCTTATTTATAGTACCCGAAATGAGAGTGTTACATACTTATTTTTAATTATTAACATTTTTGTTTTATGTATGTGATGAAAATGCGTTCCACTGTACTCGGTGGTAATATTTAAAATATCCATTCGTTTGGTTGAGAATTGAGATAACTTTGAATCATTGTGTATGTAGGTAGTTTGTATGGTGAATCATAAAGTTTATTTAGCCTTTTCGGATAGCCAACCCACGCTAGTGTTCACCAAAAAGATAGATAGTTGTTATTAAATTCCACCAAATAACTTTATCATTCTCAAATGGGACACATTATTGGACAAAGTAATTTGCAAACATGAAGTGCTCTAGTTAGAAATAGACCTGCTGCACAATAAGCAATGGCGAAAAACACTTCAAAGTAAACATTTTTAGTTTTAAGTTAAGCTCGTAGTAACACTTTACGAAATCCTATATATAGCTTACAGTAAACATTTTATCAAAACAATTTTAGTGCTATCGATTTAAAAAGCACTATTTTATAGAATGAAAAAATATAGTCATCTTATTTTTTGTCACGTCCGAATAGCGTCTCCGTCGCTTTTTTTAGTTGATCCATCATTGTTTTATTATTAGCTATAGACCTTAGAAGTATTAATGAAATAATTTTAGTCAAATAAAAGTCCCACGTTTTTGCTAAATTCTCACATTTTATTGTTGCCATGTTATGAGTTGGAAATATTATACACTTATTACTGTACAGCCTAGTGCATAGGCTCAACTAGGGTTAAAATTCTGGGGAGGGGGTACAGCCCACCTAACAAAACTATTAACTTAAAATAACCCATAGGGGTTTATATCTAAATCAAGAAGGGATATTGTTGGGTTGCTAAATATTAGTCAGGGGGCTCAGCACAGTCCCCTTCCCTAGTTGCGGCACTGATAAAGTGTGGTATTATCGCATTCCCATCATTTCAATTTTCAACACTTTAGACTACAATAGTTATTTGACTACCCAATGAAAATAAATCGGTAATACCTACGTTTGAACTATTTAAATATATTAACTACCTATATAGGTATTTCAGATATTCTCAGTAACAAGTAAATATAATATTATAATATTATATAATAGATATATTTTAGTTTGGATAAATCAAAATAATTTGAACTTGCTCTCTTATGTAGTAATAACTTTCGAAAATCATATTTCAAACATGTATTAGTGAGAAAAAAATCGTATTTATGATTAGACCAGCGAACAACCCACTTTTTAGTACCTACTTAATATAGTTGACAATGTTAATGGGATTACCAAATTTCGAAAGTATAAATAGTATCATATTATATAACATGTCCACCAGTGCAGGTGTACCAGGTGTTCCAGAACGGCTACAAGATCTACATGAATATGGAGTATGCGGAGAACGGCGACTTGTTCACGTACCTCCAGAAGATGCAGCTGACGGAGGCACAAATCCGCTCGTGGTTGTTGCAGATCCTGTGGGCGTTCTCGTACATGCACGGCGTCGGGGTGGTGCACAGGGACCTGAAGTGCGAGAATATACTGTTGACCAGTAGATACAACTTGCGGATAGCCGACTTCGGGTTCGCCAGGTTCGTGGACCGAGGACGAAATCCTGGGGCGAACACGGTGTGCGGCACGATGACCTACTCGGCGCCCGAGCTCCTGTACGGCAAGCGACCTTACAACCCGGTGGCCGTGGACGTGTGGGCGATCGGCGTCGTGCTGTTCATAATGTGCAACAACGTGCCACCGTTCCGCAACAGCCACAGGAAAGACATACACAGGAAACAGGTGAGCTGCAGTCTAGTTGTTAGTCGTAATGCGCTGCAATGAATACAAATATTCGAATACTATTTCGAATAATTAAAAAAGTAATCGAAAAAGACCTGTCCTGGATAATATTTTTATTCGTTGAAAAACATCTATAATAGTAGTTAATAGGTCTATGGGTGGCGGCGTGGAAACGGTAATAATAATATAATATATCACGGAGTAAAATATTATTATTATTTATGCGGTGGTACTCAGCAGCAGATGATGATCACTGTTTAAAAAGTTACCTTGAAATAAGAGGAATATTAGAAGATGAAAAACAAAATTATATTATAATATTATAACAACTAATATATTGTATCGTTTAACTAAAAATATTTATTTCAACCTTGAGATTTGTAAGTAGGTATATGCATAATAACAAGTGTACAGTGGCAATACAAACTTATTTTTTTTTTAATCGAGAACAACCGTGTTTTTTTAAACAAATATTAATTAGAACAAGTAGTTTCATAAACCTTAATGTACCAAGGAGCGGGGATAAAAGTAATTTTTAACAGATTTAGAGGTATATTTTAGGCTATGATTATTTCAGAGTTATAGTAATCAATATTAAAATATATTAGCATTTTATGATATGTCAAATTTTACTTGATTAAATATTATATATATTTTGTATTTTATATTTAGCGCTATAACCATAAACCAGCCATATCGTCTAGTTTTTTATTATTTTATAGAATATAGTTAGAAATTCAAAGCTTATATATAAGTTATAACAGAGTAAGCAACTAAAGTGGAAGTATCACTATTTAACTTAACACACGATAACAAAAAAACAAAACTGCATTTTAAAACTAATCCATTCCTAACCACCTAGGTACTCTCAAAATCTATAACTGAGCTTGAAATCGATATTCAATACCGATTTTGAATACCGGTTAAACCAGTTAAAAACCAAAATCGATATCGAAACCGAAACCGAAAACAAAATTGAAATAAATAGTATCAGTTTCAAGTCCTGTCTATAAGTAAAGGTACATACTTTAAATGGATGTAATATTGTGTATTTTAAAATACAACCTCTGAAAAATAATCATTTAATATGTTGTAGAACTTTCAAGATACTTACAAGTTAAATAAACAAATAAAAAAAAGGTGGGTAAGTGGATGTCGCTCTGCTGTACTGTAGGTTACAAGTGGGCCACTATATAATGGATGGTATTAAATTTGAATTCAATGATACAATATCATTGTATAAGAAAAACGATTCTGAGCGAAGACGGTATGTCAGTCTAGGTTTAAGACAAATTATATACATATCTATGGTATTAAAAAAAAATTGACCTATAATAAATTCCAAATTAATCATATCACATTATCACAATATCCATTAGGTACTTATAACACGTTATACATCATCATCAATAACAAACCCTGATACTATCATTGATATATAATAGTACACTTTAGAAGTTTCAAGTAGGTACCCACGAATAATATTATATAATCACAACAAAATAACTAGGTTTTTTAATATGTAATTTCGTCCAAATTTGAACATAAAATGACTATACAAATACACTGTGATTGTATATTTTTTAAATTTTTCGGTAAGAGAATTAACTTCTTACGTGGAATCTTATTTTAAATTTTCAATCCTTAGCTATAAAAACTGAACATTTTATAATTTATTAATTACGATGATTAATAATTTTCGAGATTTTGAAAAATTCTGTCAAAATTCGATGTTTAAATGCTTATAAAAAAAAACTGTGCCTATGTATTTTTAATATTTTTCAACTAATATTGTAACAATATATCAGGAGCCTAGTATTAAATTTTTACACTTTTTGGCCCAACAGATAAAACTTAATTGATATTCATAGAAAAAAAAAGGTGGGTAAGTGGATGTCGCTCTGCTGTACATTAGGTTACAAGTGGGTCACTGTATAATGGATGGTATTAAATTTGAATTCAATGATATAATACATTGTATAAGAAAAACGATTCTGAGCGGAGACGGTATGTCCTTCTAGGTATAAGACATATTATATACATATCTATGGTATTAAAAAAAAATTGATCTATAATAAATTCCAAATTAATCATATCACAATAGCCATTAGGTACTTATAACACGTTATACATCAATAAAAAACCATGATACTATCATAGATATATAATATAGTGTACTTTAGAAGTTTCAAGTACCCACGAATAGTATTATACACTCACCACAAAATAACTAAAATAGGTATGCTAGGTATTTTAATATGTAATTTCGTCCCAAATTTGAACTTAAAATGTCTGTAAAAAATAACTGTGATCATATATTTTTTAGATTTTTTGGCTACAGTATGAACTATTTATGAGAAACATTTTTTTAAATTTTCAATCCTTAGTTATAAAAACTGAACATTTTATAATTTATTAATTACGATGATTGATAATTTTCGAGATTTTGATAAATTTTGTCAAAATGCGATCTTTAAATGCTTATAAAAAAAAATTGTGCCTATGTATTTTTAATATTTTTGAACTGATATTGTAAAAATATAGCAGGAGTCTTGTATTAAATTTTTACACTTTTTGGCCCAACAGATAAAACTTGATTGATATTCATAGAAAATAAAAACTAAAAAAATTGAAAACTGACAATGTCCGTTAACAGCTCAAAAAGAGTCAAAATATTTTCAAAATTGTATGGTGTATAGGAAATGCTAATATAAACATTCAGTGACATTTTCATGTATCTACAGTAATTCGTTTTTGAATTACAACAAAATAAGGAAATCGCCACATGAGAAATCGAGTGAATATCCAATGTTGTAAAAATTTGAATTTCAAACTCTCATAAAAATTTAATTTGACTTTCTTATAGAATTTTTTTTTTGATAAATGTAGGAAATCTTATAAGGAATCTTGTATTACATTTTCATATCTTAGATTTAAAAAGAAAAATTTTTATGAATTTCTAACTCGAAATAATTTGCAAATTTTCGTGATTTTTCCATATTTTGTCATTTTTTGAACTTTAAATGCTTAAAAAAAAAATCCGTGACTAACGATTTTTAATATTTTTCATCTGTCTTTGAAACAATATAGGAGGAGCCTTGTATTAAATTTTCAAGTATTTTTACACAACAAATAAATTTTAAACAAAAATAAACAAATAAACAAAAAAAAAACTAATAAAATTGGAAACTGAAAATGTCCCTAAACAGTTCAATATAAATCAAAATATTTTGAAAATGTTATCGTGTATAGTAAATGCAAATATAAACAACCACTGAAAATTTCATGTATCTACGGTCATTTGTTTTAAAGTTACACCAAAAACGAAAATCGATTTTTTGGAAAACCGATTTTGCGTAAAAATTCCCGTTTTTCCTGAATTTTTCCCGGCGCTTTTGAAAACTACTGGGAAATTTAAATTTTGACCTCCCCAATGCACCAACGATATTCACTTTCCAATCGAACAAGATACTGAAGTTGAAAATCGAAGCATTATTTCGACTACTTATCGTGTACACAGACACAAAAATAAAAAAAAACACACATCATTGTAAAATCAATACATTCATCGTGTTTCACTCAGAATCTAAAAAATAAAAAAATTGAAAAATGAAAATATCCGTAAATAGCTCAAAAAGAGTCAAAATATTTTCAAAATTGTATGGTGTATAGGTAATGCTAATATAAACATTCAGTGAAATTTTCATGTATCTATAGTTATTCGTTTATGAATAACAACAAAATAAGGAAATCGCTACATGAGAAATCGAGTGAACATCCAATGTTGTAAAAATTTGAATTTCAAACGCTCATAAAAATTTAATTTGATTGTCCGGTAGAGATTTTTTTATTGATAAAGGTAGACAAACTTATGAGTAGTCTTGTATTACATTTTCAAATCTTAGATTTAAAAAGAAAAATTTTTGCGAATTCTTAACTCAAAATAATTTGCTAATTTTCTTGATATTTCCATATTTTGTCAATTTTTGAACTTTAAATGCTTATAAAAAAAAACTGTGACTAACGATTTTTAATATTTTTCATCTAACTTTGAAACAATAAACTAGGAGTCTTGTATTAAATTTTCAAGTTTTTTTAACCAACAAATAAAATTGTATTGATATTTCTAGAAAAAAAACTAAAAAAAAATGAAAAATGAAAATGTCCCTAAACAGTTCATAATAAATCAAAATATTTTGAAAATGTTATCGTGTATAGAAAATGCAAATATAAACAACCAGTGAAAATTTCATGTATTTACGGTAATTTGTTTTAAAGTTACACCAAAAACCAAATTCGATTTTGTCGAAAACCGATTTTGGGTAAAAATTCCCGTTTTTCCTTAATTTTTATGTTGTTTTTCTTGACGCTTGTGAAAACTATTTCGAATTTTAAATTTTGACCTACCCAACGCACCAACGATATTCACTTTCCAATCGAACAAGATACTGAAGTCGAAAATCAAAGCATTAATTAGACTACTTATCGTGTACACAGACACAAAAATAAAAAAAAAACACACATCATTGTAAAATCAGTACATTTATCGTTTCACTCAGAATCTAAAAGTTTAAAAAAAGTAAAAAAAAAGTTGTCGATTAAAATCAGACTTGTAAAATTATTAGCAAATTGTATTAATATAACCGAATAATTTTGTTTATAACTAATATAACTAAAATAACTACAACTTACGAAAATAACCAATTTCGATCAAACCTGATAAACACATATTATATTATACATCGTTTAAAAAAAAACTCAAAAGTTGTTATTATAGGTAAGTTTTTAGATTTATTGTAAAACATCGTCTGCCACCCCTGGTGATTTACAACTTATAAATTATCGTAGAATCCGAATAATACAAATTAGGTATTCACATTTTATCGATTTTATCGTGGGTCGATGCATATATTTTTAGAAAAACATAGTGTTATATATTAGATATGGTTATAAATGCATGTACATTCGACATTGCTTATTATTTTGTTTGCGATCTATATTTGTTAACATATTTGTTACTCTATGGTTTTTACAAGTATGACGTAACAATGGTGGTTTTACATTACTTTACTGTCAAATACAGTGTTGACCGCTAAAACTAAATAGTCCGTACATGATTTAACGGAAACGTGTGTAATGTTGCGTACACTTTAACTTGCTCTCATTAAAAATGTATAGAGAATATAAATATGAATTATAAATAAACAATATTTTCATTCGAACAGAAATCATATGATTTTAATAATAGTATCAAGAAAAATATGTAAAGGAATGCATATTATATTATCAAAACATATACACATATTATGTATAGTGCATACCAAATTTAAACCCTTTTTTAATTTCTGGGATCTTAGAAATATTACAATAAATAATAAACTTTCCTTATATGTATATACAATTAACGGGGTGCCCTTCAGAAATCTTAATTTAGTCCGTTTAAGGTCGCACTAAATGATCATTGACATCATTGAAATGAGATTTAAATATCTGTATGTCAAATAACAATCTAGTTGTGCCCATGATCCAGTTCCGGTATCAAGTAGAGTTATATAGCTGTAAGGGGACCTATGAGTGAGGAGGTTACAGCACTTTCTACATTTTCAGTTTTCTTTGAACCTATAGTATTAAATAAAATGTAACCAGGCACGGCGTTCAGGGGGGGGGCATAGGGTCTATGGCCACTCTAGACATCATAAACTACCTATAAAATATAAACATTTCATTCAGAAATCTGTATAGAAGTTCATAGTGTTTATAAATTATAATCACAGACTTCAAATCCCTCCCCTCCTCCCTATAAGGTGAATAAAATCCGCTACTGGACGTCTGGACGTAACTATATATCAAAATTATAATTTATACATAAAAGTATAAATTGTATATTTTATATTCATGGCATCAGCATACTAAACATACGGGTGATCCAGGAATCAGGATCCTAGTTAATAGCCTGTATTATAGAAAAATTGTCAGTCCAAATAAAAATCCTTGCCAACTGACATAGGCAATAATTATTTATATCACCAAACGTCGTTCGTGGTTACACAAACAAATAAAACGAATTTATATTTCATTTTATGGTTCTTTTATAATATAGTATAATATTGTTATCAAAGTGATTGGTTTAAGGTTTTACAGTAATGTTATTTTTTCTGGAAAACTTTTTGGGGTAGTTGAACACTCGAGATAAATATATATATAAATAAATAGTAAAAAAGTATGACACCATTTTAAATTATGAATTGAACACAATTCGTAATCAAAACCATTTTTTTTTCAAATTTCTTATTTTCTTTCAACGAGTAAATTAAAAAAATGACGAGTAGGTAAGATGAGAATAAAATATGTTAGTGGGCAAGCCAATATGTTAATAACATTTAAATGAGCAGGCTATTGCTTAGAATAGTTTTTGAATTCAAAAATATTGTGGCGTTTAAGTATAAAATAATAGTAAACCAATGTTCTGCTCTGAATCGAATGAAGTGAGACAAAAAACCAGTATGGGAATCGTTGACGACAGGATAATTTTGTAATGTTTATGACATTTCGTTTCTGAATATCTTCCGTACTATATCATATTACACGTATAAAGTTAAAAAAATGTTTTCCACAACAATCTAGCACAGCTGTTAATCAATACAAAATGTCAATACTTTAAAGTTTAATATACATTTGGCTTAATATATACTTATAAGCGTACCTATTTAATATAGATAGGTACTAAACAAAATTTAAACTAATTATCCGTTTCATTTTTCAATGACAATCGAAAATATAATATTTCAATTTCATCATTAGAAAATATTTTTGAAAAATGTATTGCATATAAAATTAATAATTATTAAAGAAGGCTATAGAAATGTATTTTTGTAATAACACGTCATACCCTATAGTAGCCTACACATTATAGCACACAATTTTGATGAAGTTTTACCCTAATCTGCAGATGGATAAAGATTTTGCATTTCGAAGGTCGTTGGGTCGAAGTAAAACGCTGATTGATTTGACTAACACGTTCTTGGAGCCTAATTTTCTGCAGCGCACAAAAATCAAGACCGCTCTGCAACATCCCTGGATCAAAGAAGGCAATATCAAAATGCCCGCGGATGTGGCCATAGCAAACGAAACGATCACGGAAAGTATAAGCGAACCAATAGTAACAGAGACTTCATTAAGGGTACCTGCATTTCATTACCAGTTGCCGGAATACGAGAAATCAATTAGTACCGACAACGTGTTGTTCACAGCAGTTGTAGAGGAAAGCGAGATTATTGAACCTAAAACATTGAAACTGAAGAAGTGATTTGTTGTATATATGTGACTGGAGTGGAAATTTGTTATTAGGTAAGTACTGAACTCATCATCTAATAACATATTGATTTCATCTCATTTTAACAACTTAATTCCACTATAATAATTAAATACAAAATACGTAGGTACATTTATTTTTTCGGTGTAAAATATTTTAAAATTGTAGTAAGCTATACAATATATTAGTTATTAAATACCTTTGATTTGACTTACTTTTAAATATTTTATACTAAAAAAATAAATGCACACATTGTTTGGTATTCAAATAAAGTGGAATTAAGTAGTTACAGTGGCATGGAATCAATATTTTATTAGATTATGAGTAGGTAAGTACTGTAAGCATCGTACAATCAACCTCCGCCTTAAATTATAAAACAGTGGTTTTCCTTACGTCATTAATCAACATAGGAAACTACGAATTTCTTAATTCTGGTGGGTTGGTGGTGTACGTCAGTAGGATAAATATGTATGTTCAGCAGTTCCTCCCCCTTAAATTTTACATGTAAAATCATAGGCTCCTCTGTATAGGCAATTCGTAGTACAGGCTCCTCCCAAACTTGTATTAATTACTCAATATAGGAAACCTGCAACACACATAAACTCGTCACACGCCACCCGATGCGACACGTGATTGACATATATTTTACCCCTTCCTAATCAAATACATTACCTCCCCTCCTATTTTCCCTTTAAAAATAAAAATATATAATATTCTGATGTACATTGTATCAAGTATATCATACATACATACATGCTCATAATATAATATAAGTTACCTACAACATAACACATATCTAAAAATATTATACCATTTTCAGATTATAAACCCATACGAAGAAACATCTCGCTAGAGCCGAAATGTATCTCAAATATATTATAATATAGTTTACATATATAGGTACATAGGTTCATTTATATCCAAACAATTATATACACATCATTATCACAAACTCCTGAACATATTATACAATTTACATAATATATATGATACTTAGGTATATTTATACATATAAATATGATATGACCAAACACTTACAAACTATAATATAGATACTATGAAACACACGATGCCATACGGTACTCACCAGTTTTCATTCTGAACACACGCTCAACATATATATTATATACCTTATCATACACACACACACACACTCACAAACGCACGATTCCAGTATTCCATATAGTACACAAACAAGCCACCCAGTTCTTCATTCATTCAATTACATATGAACTCTCATACACATACATACATACATACATGCATGCATACATACATACATACATACATACATACATACATACATACATACATACATACATACATACATACATACATACATACATACATACATACATACATACATACATACATACATACATACATACATACATACATACATACATACATACATACATACATACATACATACATACATACATACAAACATACATAAAAATTAAAAATAGTATACAGTTTTCTTATTATATAATTACATACAAAAAAAAATGAATCGCTAAAGCATACGTTATACACCGGAATGTATCTCAAACACACACGCACATACATAAAATTGTAAAAAATTATATTTTTCAAAATATACACGTTAAAGTATAGAGATATTCGTAGACATTCCTCTACCTGACAACATACACAAATATATATAGTATACCAATATACGGCAACCGTTTACAGATGTCGATGAGTTTCGTTCATCCCTTTCTCTAGCACATACATGCACATACACTCATACAACCATAGGTTAGTTCATACATATTTAGATACTTACATATTATATACATACATACACATATTCGTATAATATTCTGAGCACCTTTTTACAGGGAAGTTTCATCAGTTTAAGTGGGTATTTATACGTCATGTTCCACCCTTGTAACACAACATTTCAAAAAGTATTATTACATTCATTATAAAAAAACCTAAACATACTATAAAACTTACATATTATTGTATTATATATAATCATTTATTCCCATACATGGCACATATATAAAGCATTCATACATAAATAGGTACATTCATATTATATACCTACACCATCACACACAACAAATCTTGTTATACAACTTACATATCAATAAAAGACACTTCTTTACATATAGACACACTCACACATGAAATACATACTTTAAAATACTTAGTCACATTTACTTAGATGCATTGCAACATTCCAATACATCCACCCTAAAAAGTATTTTCAAAAGTACAAAATCGCTCATCAATTGGTTATATCTACTACTACAAAATTGTTATGCCCAATAATCACCTAGATAGTTCAATTCTATTAGATGAGACCATAGTACCTAAGCTTAAACACGCATGTTATAGAAAAATATCTCAATTAAAATAGATGGATCTACCTATATTTTATTCAACTCAGAGGATAACTTGACAACATACACAGAATTATATATTTATGTAACTAGTAGGTATATACAGACTAAGGAGAATAGAGGATATCGACTTTGAGGGTCTTAGACGTCGTCTTCGAGATAGTTTGATCACTAAATGCAAAAATAAAACTATCATATTTTGACTTCACCGTTGATACAGTACATTTCATGTTGAAATAATACAACAGTTATTTTTTAAATTTGAATCAAACACAAATTTGCATATGCATCCTTACTTTTCATTTTAACCATATCCACTAGACTCAAACATTATAGTATGTTAAAACATGTAACATATTTCATAATTCAATAAAATATGTTCAATTTTACTGTAATTATCATAATCTCACTGTAAAAATAAATATATATATATAACTAATATATTTTACCTTTAAAAACCGGTACATTCGTAGTTACCTTTGCTAAAAGTTATTATTTTTCTTTAAATTTCATAAAAACTGTATTTATAGAACCAAATTTATCAGCTATATAATAAAACATTTATACTATCATTAAAATTTTCATTGATTTTCATCACTATACCTGTCTCGAAATACACAAACCTATAACACGTCGGTTGAGAATGATTTTCAGATTTAATATAAGACCACTATATTTTTATGATTTTCCATCAATGTAACATAGAAATCGTATATGTATTTGTCTCCAATTATCGTTAAATACATGAGGGTATATTTATACTGATATCATACCCGATCGCTTAGGCATATAATAAAGCATATGATAGGTGGATTGATACAGATTATATCTTATATGCTTCACTTAACACTCATTTTACACAAAATACTAGGAATTTATTTTTAAGTTTTTCAACTAAATGCATAAATATTTTATACATTATTCTATTTACTTTATAAATAATGTAAAACACATGTATATTACCATCACGAGTTAGGATATATCATGTCATGTTCAGTAGATATAAAATAATTAGTCATAGCTTGATTTTATATAGATATAATATATATTCATACTATTATATTTCTATATTCGTTGTAAATATCAACATACTGATCGTAAATTATAAACATATTTTATACTCCAACACATATAGACACTATATTATATCTTGATAAAACTATCTTAATAAGACGATACGCAAATAATAAAGATATCACAAAAATTTATAATTTTAACAGTCTACAACGCTGATATAAATATAGCTTTTATTATATTCGACTTTACTCTAATTAATTGATAAGTACACATATTTGTATAATAATATCATATTTTCAATGAAAATATATACAAACTTCAAATTAATATTAAAATCAGCAGATTTTCAAATAAAAATCATATTAGATGTATCCAGGGCCGGATTTAAACATTTTGGAGCCCTAAATGATCCATAACAAAAATTGCATACCTACCTAAACTTATTTCATGCGTAAAATATATTTATAGACTATAGTTACAACTAAAAATAACTATTTATGTTAAATAAATTGAACAAGTCATACAGTAATATATTATTTATTTTATTAATAAAAAAATATAATCTATGGCTAAAATGTATTTAATTAAATATATATATATTATATATATTAATAAACTGTACCAAAAATTTGTATTTATATTTTTAATAAAGAAAATAGTCAATTAAAAGTTAAGATTATTATTACAGTCATTAACCTATTATGTTTACATAGAAAATAGAATATTATAAATTGCATACTTTTCTTGATTTCTTTTCTGCAAAGTCATCTATAATATCATCAAATGACAGATTATCCAACACATCACTTTCAATGCTCATAACTGATAAAAAGTTCAAACGATCTTCATTCATTGTAGTTCGTAATCTATTTTTTATAATTTTCAATCTTGAAAATGTGCGTTCACTACTACAATTGGTGACCATAATTACTAAATACATGCGTAATGCGATTTCAACATTTGGAAAAGCTAATATTACGTCTTTTTCAATTAAAGTTTTGTACATAAAATGCTCATTACTCATTTCTGTTGGCTTGGAATAAAGTTTTATAAATTCAGAAAAATGAATTATTTCAACACACAACAATTCGTCTAAGTCGTCATCGTATACAGCTACAAGTTTTTTAGCTGCTTCTTGTAATTCTTCGTTGCTAAGATTATTTAATTGTCCAAAAAATCCAAAACGATCACATATTACTTCATATGCTTTAAGTCTTTGACTTATTGCTGATGACATTTGATCTATAACAGGCAAAAAACATTCTACTTTAAATTTTTCTGAATAATTTAGTTGTGAATCAGGACCTTTGCCATAATCTAAAGGATTCAATCGAATATTAAGTTGACGAGATCGTTTTTTATTATCATTATATTCATTTGATTTTGAGATGATTTTGCCTTTTTTCTCAAACATTGAAAGAGTCGATTTTATTTGAGAATATCCATGAAATAATGCTTTAGTTGCGTCAGATCGACATGACCAGCGAGTGGTAGAAATTCTTTTTGGTATTTGTATTCTGACAGTTTTGTCGGTGGATTGTAAATTTTTTTTTAATTCATCATAACGATGTGTTGATGCAGTAAAAAAAGTATATATAGCTTCTAAAAAATTAAAAAAAGATA